AGTTGTTCTCACGATTTTTCCAAAATCGAATGATCTTGTTGAAAATTTGATTTTCATGACATGGTGAACAACAAGCCGCCAATTCTTTCTTCAAATAGCGATTCAAGAAATTTAATTCATTAATTATTATCATTTCTCACTTCTTCTACGACCAGTTTAAAATAAAAAAAGAACCTCTTTGTTCGTGATGTGCTTGCTGATAGTTAATGTTTTCTTTTTTTTAACATAGCATTTTTGTCTGTTTGTGCAAAACTCACGGGATGGTATTGCCCTCTTCTATCCGGTTTTGATCAAAAACCATTTATTTCTTGTGAGGGCTTCCTTTTTTAAGGAACACAACATTTGACTGCATTATAACTTGGGACACGAAGTAGTCGATTTCGGTCAAAGTCCCACAAGATATTTTTTTCCTAAAACAAATTTTTGACACAATGGTGAAGATTACTCATATTACTCCTACTTCACATGTTCCTTAGAATATTTTACGATGGAGATGGTTAGAATTTTTGACACTTCATGTTTAAGACAAAAATATTACTACTATGAGGAAAAGTAGAAACCTGAAAAAAAAAAAAAAGCGAAATACTTATCGATTACTTCACAACTCTACGACAGAAATTTTTACAGTAGATTTGTAGCGGCTCAAACTAAATAAGAACTGTGTCGCGCTTTACGTACAAACCATAAGAAATTTATAAACCTCAAAGTGAGATGATAGCAGTCTTGCCTTTGACAAACGTAACCTCATCAAAAGGTATATTCGATTGACGATTTTCTCACCTCCAGTGTATTTGTCATTAAGCCAAGTAAACCACTAAGAAGTGTCAAATCCCTCGTGGGTTTCGTCACGTAAGAACAAGAGCAAAAAACAAAAACAAGACCGGACACAAAGCAAAGCATTGAGTGCTCTTACTGATGGCGACAAATTCTCAGACACTGGCACAAGACGAATGGTTACGAGACGACCGTGGATAATAAACCACTGGGTACCTTTAAAATACCAGGTTCAATTAGGAGAGTCTCCATGCATTATTTTGCATATGAAACAGCAGAAAACACAGAGAAACCGAGGCAAAGCCCTGGAATATAACCCGTATGGTAAACTTAACTCAATTTTGATTCATTTTCTCCAGTTCACAACCGCACAATTCCTGCTTATTCTGTTAATATTCATTTCTCAAACTCAATAACAACCACTTCTTAAGAGAGCAGTGTGTTACGTTCCTTTTTGTCTCATTTTATACCATCCACTTGTATTAACAACTATCACATGGAAATGTGCGTGCAGCTCCGAATGCGAGCCTGAATTCTAAGTCCTATCACGCCTCTGGATTCAGCCTTATGTAGAGGTAATTGAGGAGTAAAAAAACAGTCTCAGGCTTAACTCGTAATGTGCGCTACCTAATAGGAAAACCCAAATACTCTATCGGAATAAAATACTGGCTTCCTTTCACCAATCAATGCAGTCGTAAAGGTCTTTGGTCTTCAAAATTTAAGAGAGATATTGAACAACAAAGAATACATTCTTAAAGTTCGAGAGCCAAAATGAATACATCACTAGTTAAAACCTCAGAAAACTTTTTAATCGAGCGCCGAAAACCATGCTTAAAGAAATTACAACGGCCAAAAAGAAGACGAAAAAAACTCCAAAAGAAGCCAAGAAATCAAAGTAATGGCTGGTGATCGGCTTCGAGCGCAGGAAAACGCTATTTGTGCGAAGTTTGCATTTGACTGGTTGCACATTCGAGGCAATATTTTCTCATCAATCACTGAGCATAACGAAGGAAAACTAACGCATTTCAAGATTACTGTCAACATTAATTAAAAACTGCTCTACAAACCAACACACACCAAAAAACTGATTTTGATATTGAAGCGAGTTAACATCATACGAACAACCGTGTCTACACATAGCCATTTTAAGCCTTACTTCGGGCAGATGTAAAATGTTTGTGTAGCACGAATGTTAAAACACATGAGAATGCATAGAATTATGAATTACTGGATTTTCAAATTCTTTTACAAAAAAAGAAGAAAAAACAAACAAACAAAGGAAACACACCCCTTACCATTTACACCTTTACAACACAAGACAGTAAGTTGACAGGTATTCTTCATCTCCTAGAAAATTGTTATCCTTGGAAGTAAAATAAAAGATATGTTTTGGCCGGTTGCAAAGTGACACTTAATCTTGCAATGGTTTATAAAAACAATTTTTTGGAAGGTCAACGACATGAGTGAAAAGAAACAAGAGGTCTCTAAAGTCGACACTGATTCTAAATAAAAACAAATTTTGAAAAGAACATAGAAATTAATAGAGTTCACAACAAAATTGCAAAGGTTGTAAGCTGACGTTTAAAAGCTCGTTACAGCGTCATAACACTTGAGTCAAAGAGGACGAGCCGAAAAACAAAGGAAGTGTACTTTTAGCAGCCATTTCTTTTTCCACCAGCAGAAAAAATTGCCACCTCCTACACATTTTGTTCGTCAGCTTTTACGGTCGCATTGTTTATACACACGTCTTTTCGTAATTTCATTACGGCTTAGTAGAACTAGAACTTACGATAAAATTCATTTTGTACATCGATTTTAATTAATATCCTTACTCTATTTACTTGTTCATAACCGGTGTTGTTGGAAATCACAAATTAAGTTTAATTTTATTTTGCCTTGTTTGGCTCTTGAAACAACAACAAACGTGGGATGATACCTGATGAAAGGATTTCTTAAACAGTTCATTTCAATGGGATATTATGAAAGCAACAAACAACAAGAAATGATCAGTAACGACAGCAATTTTTTAAACTCAAAAAAGGGAAAACCAACCCGTACTAACTGCGCTAAACGGAATATCACGACATGTTAATATTTAAATAAAGCACTAAAAACAATTTCTTCGTGAAGCATAGACGGGCAATTAGTACAAAAATTTTAATCTGCTTAAAACTTGCATAACGGGTACCAGCACCTAAAGGTAGAAAGACTGATACATAATTGATATAACGTGACTACTAAAATGAAAAACAACTCTGGTTTACGCGGAAAGCACCACACTGGTGTGTGAGGCACGTGCACATGACGTCACAGGGTCGATGACTAGGTAAACGCCACATGACTCAGGAGAGAAACCTGAAAAGATTTGTTTACTGTTGTGCGAACTGCCTAAATACATAAATATTTCTTGTGAAATAGTGAAAGACTTTCTTTCTCTTCGCTCCTACTAAGGATTTAAGACTTGAGATTAACGAAAGTCGGACAAATTTTGTTAAACCTTGGGTGAGGAAGTACATGAAGGTGTTTTCAACGAAGTGCCAGTGATAACTGTTTGGGAAACTGAATTAATGAATTTCTTGGGGTATTTTTTCGCTTTATGCGTTCTACGATTAACACGCATTAAAAGCGCGTTATGCAAATCATGATCAGTTATTACCAACCAACAACTCTACAACCAAATATCTCCTCAGTACAAAGCGGAACTGACTTACTTTCAAATCTGAATTAAACTTTAATTAAGAAATTTGGCAGGACCCTTTATTGATTTGTAAAAACCCCTGGGAATCTCTGAATCTATGGCTTTTTTATGAAATTTCCCATTCCAAACTAGGCAAATAAATGCAGTTCAATACCTATTCTAATTTGTTTTGACGACTGAACAAAAAAAATGGAACAGTTGTGGAATTCTCCGATTGAATGTTCGCATGTTTCGTTTATGTTTAATCTGCAAGTTACCGCGAAACGAATTGTATACAGTGAAAGAGTAATGCCTCTGCCCCCTCTCTCCCCACATACCCAGAGCTGTGCGATATCACCATTTAACTCGAACAGGAGGGGAGTTCGTGGTGTTTTCAGTTATTATTTCTTCCTTTTTTGTGTTCTTTTGCTTAAAGGCGTGTTTTCCTGCAAAACGGCAGATTTATGAGATATTTAGTAAACAAGTTGGTTTTTACTAGTAGCTTATGACTGCATGTACGTCTGGAGTCTTTTTTAAAGTGTAACGTTTGTGTGATCTGTTTGGACAAATTTTATACATAAAAAAAAAAACACAAACATCACAGGATATGACTAAATTCTGTCTAAAAAGCAAAGCATAGCGTGAATTAACACTGGCGTAGGTAAAACGAGACATAAACGTTGCTTTGGATAGGATCGTTCGAGCCATTGTATAGACGTCGTAAAATTTCAAACCAGAACAGCTGGAGTGAACAAGGCTCTATCATATAACCAGCATCAATCAATGTCGAGCAAATGGAAAAACAATTATAGACAACTAAATTATAAATTTGACGGTAGTTCCAACGAACCCCGAGCTGAAAATTTTTATCTCAACCCTATTCTTGGCAAACATTTCTGATCTTTCCCTAAATTTGATAAACATGCGTAATTTGCTTAAAATTAAAAAATTCCCAAACTTTTACTTTGAACTGTAAAGAATTTTGAATTTTCCCACAAATTTCTCTGAATTTACTTTACCCAAGGCAAATTGGTGTGCCTGTGCTCAATGACACTTTGTTCGTAGGTAAGAAGGGTGGAATGTGGGGTAAATTATGTAAAGAAGAAGAGAGAAAAGAGAGGGTTTATCATGGCGTGGGCTATGATATGCCGACCACTAAAGTTACGTTGAATTATGTTTCCTTCGACGTCCAAAGTGCGAGAGATAGCGAGAAAAATACTTCTAAAATCTGTTCACTACAACACCATTAAGACAACTGAACTGACAACGAGGATAGACGAAGTAAACACGCGTTCAGGAAAGATCATATCAAAAGTAAGACAAGCTAGGTTACCATCAACTAACTTAGGTACCACTGAAAATCTACAGCACCACAGGTTGTTCATTGTGATTATGCATATTTCACAGAGAAATATTTTGGGAGAATCTTGAGGAGCGCTCGAGCTGCTTTACACATTTCAGCAGCCTATTTGCTGTTGTTCGTACCATTATGTGCTATTTTTTATTGTTTGTTTGTTTGCTTTGTTTATTTCCTTTATTCAGTTCTTCTGTCTTTTTTATCAAGTTTCTTATAAATATTAGGTCAATGAAAAGAGAACTTTTAGTTACATTTAAGTACTTCCCTTGCGTTTTTTGATTGATAACGTGAATTAACCACAAAACAACACGAGCCCGTGAACACTGCTGACAAAAATTTCTGCACGAGGTAAAAAACGACTAACAATGAAAAAGTATTTGTGCGTACACAAGAAAAAATCCATATCAAAATAATTATGGTTTAGAAAAGTATTCAAGTATGAAGATATATGTGTTAGTGAAGTGTGAACGCGAAAGAGGAAATCCGAAAACCACACCTAAATGCCTCAGGGCGCAAATTGCGTTCATCTTCTCTTGTTTTTTGTAAGTTTCATGAGAGTGTTCAAAAGGGCAGCATTTCGTTTCTTTTCTTCCGCTTTAAGCGCCAGTAATTTCTCCTCCTCCTTTTGAAGTAAAGGTATAAATTCCGATGCTCTCCTCAAAATTGTTATCTTAGCTGCGCGTTCGCTCTCTTCTAATGATGGGATGCTTCTTCGAAGACACTGGAAACGATTCCGTAGATCGTTGCGTCGCTTCCTTTCCAAATCATTGTGAGAAATACGTCCACTTCCATCTTCGTTTCCCGGCTCGGATGATTCTTCGTTTTTTCCTTTAGTCCAGCGCTGTTTTGGCGGGGTGTTCATCGATCTGTCTTCCTGCTCGGTGGTGTCTGGACTTAGACGGGTGGTGACGACCTCTTCCTTTGTTTTGTCTACTGTGACACTTACAACGTCGATTTCATCTTCCTCTGTATCACAAAAGGAGAAAGGCAGTTGAACAAAAATTAAAGAGATATCAAAGAGAAAAACGGGAATACGATTTTGGGCAAAACCATTTAACAGAAGTCTCGTAGTTAGATTTATGTATTTTTCAACATGTTCAATCTTTTGTTTGAGAACCTTTGGTATCCCACCAGTGAAAAGACGAAAATATTTTTTTTCATATTTGATTTAGTTCGTGTATCTTTCCCTTTCTTAAAGAAGATTATCTGATCTCAATTTGATTGCAGCACGCTGCAAGTTAATATTCGACTATATTCAACAGTGACGTACAAGTTTAAATTCGAGTACATGAAGTAGAGAACAAGCCGATCCTATAGAGATAACACTTCTATTTAACACTTTCCAATTTTACTACTGCATTTTTCATTACACAACAACTGTCAAGAAAGACTGAGAGTTGTGTCTTAAATAAAAAATAGTGAAATTTTCACGTCGTTTAGGATCACAAAAAAAAAAAATTGAGACAAATTCATGAATTCTTTATCATGATAAGGAAACACCTTGTGTGGAAACAGGAAAACATATTTCGAGTAAAGCGGCGTGCAAATTGACTGTAAAAAACAATATTCGACAACTAAATAATGTTCTTTAACCAAAAAAATATTTCAGATATTTAAGAACACAGCTCAGTCAGAAACACTGCTGTCGAAAGACAGAGGTCGAATAAATTTTTTCAGAGGAAAGTAAAAACAAACAACTTTCTTGAGCTCGCGGGTCAATGGCTTAACCTTCTGCTTTGGATCAGAGAGAAGCTGATTGTTTTTGTAAAATCTAGGCAATTGTCTTAATGTTTACTTTGTTGTCCTAAACAAACACGGATTAGTAGTTACCACGCATGTATATTTTAGAAAGGGAAATCAAAATAAATGAAATCAAAACTCTGCTGGGCACGTGACATAGAACACTGTAAAGCCAATATAATAGAACAAAGCAAACAGGCAAAAATAACAACAACAAATTGGCGAAGAGACATTTCACGTTTTCGAGCAACACGGTGTCTTTCCAGATTTACTTTGGCTCAAGATTTTTATTCTCTGTTCTTCTTCTTCTAAGAGACAAAAGGACGATGAGTAAATATTTTGTGCAAAATAAATACCTGTTTCGGATGGAAGGTCCTCTGATGGAATATTGAAGGCAGCATCACCGTTTGCGAGTCTGTCCAACATACCAACGTCTTGATCACTGCAGTGGCTTAGCAACGAGAATGAGAACAGCTCTTCCGGCTCGACAAATGTATGGCTAATCGGTTGATCAAAGCATGTCGGAGTTGACGACAAACTGAATCGAGCTTCGAAATCGGTGGTAGAATCTGGCCTCCTGACTCGATCTCCGCTCCACATTATGTCATTGAGAATGGCGGGAGATTCGGCGCGCATTCCGCAAAATTGCCGCGCAATTTCGAATGGGACATCGTCCACTTCGATTTCTTCGTCCGAGATTTCCCTCAGTTCTCCCCACGGACCCGAGGCGGCGTGCCAGCGCATCTCTTTCGTAACCTCTTGACAGTTGCTGCAGAATTCGACCGGCGAAGTCGGTGGCGTTGGGAACGAAAATGAGGGCCAAAGGTCTGAAGGGGCTGGGAATTCAAACTTGTCTTTAAACGAGGCAAGTGGTGAAGAACAAGGTGAAAGATTGAGTTGAGAACGATTCATCATCTTACGGCTTGAGATAAGAGGATGCATTCGAGTGTTCTCAACCCGATGCACGGTGTGTTACAAATGAATGAAGGTTTAACGGACGCACGTGTATTTAAAAGACCCACAGGTAAACAATACAAATTCAAATAAAACTCAGATGGCCAACCCACCTGGTCACAAAGCCATTTAAATGAACCTTAAATGACAGTACACGTTCCGACACACAGGCACAATTTCCCTGCAGTTGCAAAGTCCTGCAGGGAAACAGATCAAACAATGCTGCAATGTGAAGTGCAAAAAAATTACTTTGCTGGTTAAAATCTTACTTCTTAAAGACGGCTGAAACTCTAGATTCGCTTAACTGGTGGCAACGATTTCCAATCAAAACACGAGGGAACGGCGAGCATTTAGAAAGGCACGCTTTAATGTTGCATAATGAAGGTGGCACCAGTTTCTTTGTTGGCGTTAACGTCGCCGTTGACCGGAGTTTAATTACAACTCTTAACATTTGACAAACGCGTGTTTATAGAGCGACCTGTCAGGCTGAATCGCCGTTCCTGAACGTCACAGGCGCTCGGTTCATCATTTGCAATTAACAACCAGCTATGAGTGCTACCTTAAAAGAAATAGCAAAATATGAACCTTCTTCCATCATAAGAGAGACCTTTCATAAAATACAATTTCCTGAACAAAGCGGTACACTTAGAAGTCATCGAAAGAAGAATAAACGCGGTTGTTTCAGCTAGATTAGAGTCGAAAGCATTTAATCGGAGGCTGATCGCCTCTGACTGCTCCAATCCTTCACAGACACTTTTCCACAAATCGTGTTTCTTTTGTTGGTGAAGAGGTGGGAGGCGCAGGTGTCGGAAGGATATAACACTGGTCACCAGCAGTGGACACATAAAGAACACACACAAAAAAAACAATGAGAGCAATCTTTGACAAAAAACTTAAGCAAAATCTCTGGTAAAGGAATCCAAGGATTAAGCAGGCATTTCTGTCACGTAGTGATCCAACATCGCCCGCCTTAATGTAGATTGATATCGGCCCCGTTTGTTAATATGTATTTGTATCGCACTTAAAAGGTTGAAAATCAACAACTTTTGACAAAAGAGTAAACTTCTTATCTCCTTAGGGCTCGATTAACTAACAAAAATTCATACTTCCTCGCCAAAATGTCAAGGCACAGTCAAAACTGCAGGGGATTTTGAACCAGACAAATGTAAATTACTTTCAGAAGAACGGATCCTGCGAGTCAATATCCTTCAATCTGCATTCTAACACATGCAAAAAACGCACGATGAAAATCTCAAATAATTGTCGTCAGAAGAGTTAGCTGACTAATTCGATTGGTTTTCAACACCTTTGGCAAGTTCCATTTACAGCGGGCACCCCACATAAGAGTGCGAAATAGACGAAACATGTTGTAATTCCCGCCCACTACAAAATCTGACCGGTGGAAGCTACAAAATAAACACTGATTACTCTGGTTTCATGAAAAGTAAACCCGTGTAAAGTTGAAATGTTCGAAAAATCGGACACTAATGCTTGAGGCGAAATGAGAACTGATAAAATTATTTGACTGGAATTAGCTTAGATGTAATCTTAGTGAGGAGTTCGAACTCGAAGTTGGTTCTTGTGTTCAATGACACTGTTTTGAGACAGGTCATCACACAATTGACATCAGACCCATTTATCATACCAATTTTACGCTTGCCGAAAAAAGACTGGATCTTTTAATGCATTCTTGTTAGTTCACTAACTTCCCCATGTAATTCAACCGGTGAAATACTTTCCACAATAAGAGATCACCAGTCTGGGGCATTTTTTTCCCTTTATTGGTTTAAAATGTAAATTCCGTCACTTTTATGATAACTTTGACACCACACGAGTTGTTTTCATTTTATATTCTTATGCGGCATACGGTACTACCTTTGTCACAAAGCAGTGAAAACCCTGCAATGGCTCATACATCTCAGATTAAGAACACAATGCATGTCAAAATAATGAACAAAGAGCACCCGCTTTCACTTACATTTAAATGCAAAACGGTTTTAAATACCTTCCCTCGCTAAATTTAGACCACATGGAATATACCATTGAAGCGAGCAGAAAGCATTTTTGACACAACGAGTTATACATGCCATAAGGGAATAACACGTAGGGCTTTCGAGATCATATTTCGAACTTTCCCAAATAGAAAGTAGAGTTCCATCAAACAGAACTTTTATTAACTGATGGTGAAACGAAACAAAAAAGGAGCCATTGCTTTTTTTTTCCCAAAGTTATAAGAGATTTTTAGTGTCACCCATAGCCGTAATGAAATTTCATCTGTCAGGGATGCGTGCCCCATTATGGCTAAAGAATGCGGAATAAAAGAAAAAAAGCCTGAGATGGGGGATGAAGAAAACATTAAGGAAAGGGTACTATTGGAAAGGAAAGAAAGTGGATATTAAACCTCAAGATGTTGAGGAAAAAGGAAAAAAAAAAGGAGAGGACATAAAATAGCTCATAAAAACCAAAAGGAGTTACGGAATATTCAGCTCTCTCACGCGTCCTCGCTGGCGTTTCACTAGGACAGACGGGATACTCTAGACAATTCATCTCAACATGGAAACTTCGATTTTCATGACGATGATAAAGAGCCCTGTGGCTATTGGGTACAAGTACATCTTAACAGATTCTGTTATCAAATTAGGTAGAAAATAAAGCACTCGAACTTGTGACGCCGCAAGTAAGGCTGACAAGAGAGGGTATTGCTTCTCGAAACCGGACTGTGGACTCAGGGATATGAAAATTATATTCAGATGACATAAACCAGTTAATAAACAATTAAAGTGACAATAAACATAGATTTGCCCCGGACGTAGAACTAAAAACTGCGCCAAGAGACTTCTCCAGTTAAAATTACAAATGGTTATTTTAGGTAAATATCACAAAGGTAGCTCCAGAGCTGTTCTATGTTCCAATTACCTCTGGTCAATATTAAGATTTGAGAAGAATTTATGTGGTCTCTCTGTAAAAAGAATTCCCTGAATACGTACATGACCTTATGTAAAAACATCATCTTCAGTTGTTACAAATCTGTTTAGTTATAAAAAATTCGTGCGGGCGTTGAAGGCATCGATCGCCTCATTGAGAACCATCAACGTGGGTGTACAAGCCAGGAGAAAAAAAAGATTGAAAAACAATAATGTTCCACTTGATTATGCCCGGCACCTAGGCTAAGATTGCTTGTAATCTGGTGTTACTTTGTCGCACTGGACTTCTCTAATCCCTATAATCGCTCAGAGACCTGCCTGAAGCGTGCTTCTCATGGTTAATTGAGCTCTAACGGCAACTTGCTTCTCCAAAAGGGCGGCAAACAGCGTGGTTTCCTGGTAACCTGACCTCAATTAATTGACCTGTGTGTGAAGTTTGCCTTTGACATCCAAGCGCGAGATAGGCGCTAACTTAACGATGTAAATATTTCATTCGAAGGTTGATTAGGCTTCTCTCTTTTGGTACAAACACACGACTGAAAATATTTTTCCTAGTTTTGCTTCGTTCACTGAGAAAAAGCTAGGTCAGGCAAGACTTAAATAAAAAAATATATATATAAAATTTGGAAATAATTATACATTTCCTTTAGTTTTTGAGACTTCTCGTATGTTATGCGAAAAGATCTTGTACAAAGTTGCGACATGATAATCACTTCTTCACCTCTTTACTAGTTCCTTACGTCATAATAAAGAAAATGCTGGTTGTGACCATGTTTTGGAAATCTGGGGCTGACCAGTGAGGATGTTTAAAATTTTATCGCTTCGTTTCACTCCGTAATTTTAAATTAAAATAAAAATATTTCTGACGAGTGCGAGGTTGTTCCATCGCGTACAAAACATCGACAAAGAAGTTAACAATGCGACACGCAAAGGAGTGTTTATAGCGAGAACGGAGGAGCAGATAATCCGACGGGATTTCTAACTTCCACATCAGTTCATTCTCAAACAGAAAGGTAATACAAAATAAAAAACATATCAGCAAAGAGATATTGCTTGATTCAAAAACTAATTCTCGTTACGTAAGTTCTAGAAAATGTATGGCCAAAAGTTCGGAAAATTTATATCTGTTACCTTGGGGGTGAAAGGCTCAAATATCCGTCTAAAATGATTTTCAGTTATTATATGTCTATGAGGAATGAATGCACATCTACGACCACAAGAGAGACAATCAAAGGGGCTGAGAGATCTTTGTATTGAAGGAAGGTTTTGTTGATGTCAGAACTTTTATCTTGAGGTGCACGAACACAACTTTGCAATACCTCGATAACCTTTAGATCCTGGTAGACACCATATGGATTAAATAACATGTTTTAAGCGGGACAATCTTCGCACGAAACGAGCGTTAAGAGATCAGAATGCAATGCCTTTTCAAGGTTACAAATCGAACACTGGCATTATTTTCCAAAAAAACGATAATAGTCGGACACTGTAGATAAATGATACTATGTACAATAGTAATATTTTGACAAATCAAGGGAAATAAAAACAACATAGCCTTGGTACTCACCAGGGATCAACACGACAGGTGAAAATTAATCACTTCTTTTTTATTTTGCCTCAACAACTTTTACTTCCTTTTTGTTAGTTCACAATTTCAGTAGAGTAGGCCTTGGTAATACAACTTCCAACGACAAGCAAAAACTTTAGGTTTTAGGGAGGAAAAACTAAATGTTGACTTACATGAGACTTAAACACCATGGACATCGCCATAGGACAGAACTTCTCCCAAGCTATCATGATACGTATCCTTGGAATGGCAGTTAGGAGAATTGGTAGTTAAATCACATAATTTCCCCTTAGGGGCACCTCTTTATATTCTCATCACTGATGTGCTTGACGCTATATTTCTGCTTTGAGTGGAAACTCATAACCGATGAGACTTGGTTGAATTAATGTACAATTAAAAGGAAAAAAAAAAAGATGAAAAAATGACGTAGGAGAAGCGACATCTTTGCGAACGGATATAATGTAAAAAGTAGTCACGAGTAAAGCGATCAAGTAGACTGACGTATTATTTTAAAATCATCATTTTTCAGCAAAATGGTGAGGGAGATGACAACATTCTAGTAACAATCAAACTGCTCAATGTTTTCAAGTTTACAATAAAGTACAATGGATATTAAGTCAAACGTTAAATCAAATTATTCTCACACATTTTTCGTCAACTAATCTCCTGAAGTTATTTTTTGTAGTTTTTCCAAAAGATCTATATTTCTTTGCCTTTCGGCTCTTTTTCTGTTTTCTAGCTCTATCGATTCCTGTTCTAACAGGACAATGTACTGGAATGCCTTCTGCAATATGACAATTTTCGAAGCTTTCTCTTTGTCTTTCAATTCAGGCAAGGTCAGGCGAAGATTTTGAAAGCGTGTTTTCATATTAGTTCTTCGCTGTTTTTCCATATCGTTGTGAAGGTCCCTTGTTTCTCCCTGAAGGTTACCTTTCTTTTTGAAACGCTTCGATCTGAGGCTTTCCTTCTGTCTTTCACTATTTCCCATAAAAAACGCCGAACGGTTAGCATTCGGAGAGGCGGTTGTCTTTATTTCAATGTTAGTTTTCTTTGGATTACGCTGCAGCTCCCGCTCTCGTCTCTGCGTGCTTTTCCATAAGTCATCCTGCACGCTGCATAGACTTGAGTCCAGTTTGGAAAATACTCCATCGCTAACATTCAAAGTCTCTGCACGAGCAAGTTGAAGAGCTTCGTCGCTGCATTTAACTTGTAACTGCTTCTTCGAGGGAAGTTCTTTTGCAGGGTTGTGATCAAAAAAACTGTTTGTAAAGCATTCTTCTGACAAAATGCGACTAAGAGAATGATCTGTATTCTCTCCCAAAGTCGGCGGGAATTTGGTGACGCTTTCGCTGAGCTTGGAACAGTTTAACTGAAATGGTAAGGTTTCACAAAAGGTTGGACACCCTGAAAGAGACATCGAAGCCCTCGAAATGTAATTTCGATCTACTGTATTCACCGCCTCCAAGAAAAAAGTGTTTTTTAGGGACTTCTGAAGATTGTGGTTATTTTTTGCACCAGTGACGGACAGTGATACCGGCGTATTCTTATCAACCACATGTGGTGATCCATTACCTTCGTGACAGAAATCTCCGCTCCCCAAATTGTAATCTTTCTCCTGGATCACATTACACGAATCAGGAAGATTTTTCATCCTGAAAGTCGCCGTAGGTAGCTCAAACATATTAGCAGATGGGTCAAACTGTTCATGACTCCCGTGTGGTTTTAAGAACACGTTAAAATTCCCAAACGATTCTAAGGTATTCTTGCTTTCTGACATGGGAACAGAATGACTGAAACTTTGTGCCTGAGTTACCAAGCCACCACTGTCTCTATGCTCGGGTAAGAATTCATCCGAACTTGTTGGAAACTTGAATACCGTCGAATCGTCAACAAGAGTGCTGTACAGACGATCAACGGGGATCGGTGTTAGAACACAGGGAAAATAAATCTCCAATTCGTCACGCTCAGAGTTCCTCCTTTTAAGAAGCGATCTGTCAAAGTTTCTACGTTGAAGACCACAAGTATCAGTGGGAGATTCGATTTCGGTGATAAACTGTACGTGGGATCGAGTATTATTTTCATCCAAGTCAACATGAATTGTTTCTAAAATGTCATTGAAATCAGGAACCACCTGGGCATCGTCAGCCGCAAAGGAATGAGACTTCCCGCCAAAAATACTGCCATCCGTTTCATCGTGACCGAAACTCCCGCCAAAACTGGTCTCTCCGATCGACACAGCTTCGTAAACACTTCCGTTCGATTCGAGAGAATCACGACTTTGCGAAAAACAGGATGTACGGTATGGAGAGGTACCGACGGTTAAACTTTGCTTCAGGTTGCTGTTGGTGTTGACATCGTTGTGGTAGCGAGGATTTTCCTGTTTTTTGAACTCGAAAATTTCATCTGAAATATATTTCGGTGAAGAATTCATAGTTGGCGAAAGCGAGGATCTTTCACGCCGCTTTTATTATCGAGTAACTAGGGAATGAAACACACCTCGCTGGAATGATGATATGATGACACAAGCTTTCGGACCAATAAATAAGGCACATTTGCATTCACTTGGATGATTTAAATGGAAAACATTGCCATCAACGCCCACGCTCTGAGTTTAGCAAAATGGATTCCAACATTGAGACAACGGTCGAAACTCTTCAGTCTAATTAATTAAAGTTATACTTTACAAAATGAATAGAAGACATATGAAATCTAACAACGGTAAAACGAAGAGATAATCAAATTTAGACGCAAAAAATTAAGAAACATGCAGATATTACGTGGGGGAAAATGTTGCAGTAAAACAGAACTAAGTAAACATCTACTTCGTCCACCTGCCAATCATGTGACTCGAACAGCTGCCACGGTCACGTGATGTTTTTTAACAGAACAAGTATTTTTTACCAAAACATTACGGGTAAACTGCATAAAAACATCAAAAGAAAGAACTTCAAGGAAATGCAATCGATGCTCGATATTTAAATCGCACCTTTGTTTTCTAATTTAGGTTGAAGGCACAGCGCTAATTTTCTATGTAGAAGAAAAGGTATGTCATCGTATCTCTCAAACATGAGGATCTCCTGAAGACAGGCAGTTTTATTCCTGTGGCATGAAAGTTAAAAAAAACTTTTGTCTGGATGTGAAGTCATAATTTTTAGAACCCTCAAGTTATTTGAAGAACGAAAATTAAACTGATTGTTATGCTTCAAATTACCTGGATGCACACGGAAGGTTTTCCACCCATAACTGCCGAATGCTATGCCCTCCTGAGTCACAAGACTGATTTATTTTGGTTATGAAAGTACATAAAGAACTCTCCTTGCTGAGATGTATCACTGACAAAAATTTGAATAAACTATTTCAAACCGAAACAAATGAAATCAATACTCATATCTAAGTTATATTCTGCATAAATCTTAATGTATCATGATCGCATCTTTAAGAGCTGTAGGGTTTCGCAAAATAAACAAAGCATTCTAAATACTGTATGACTGTTAATTTACCATGCTCGCAAGCGAACTTCAGAAAGAAATATATATACATTCGTATCATCGCAAATAACCCTCACATTCACTAATGTCGATAAATAGTTTGTTGCACTTAGTTTTGTTTTGATAGTGTCATTATTTGTCTTTGAAAATTGAATCACCACAGAAGGATTTCTCGAAATTTCTAATCCTAATTTTATTAAAGTTTTATTCACTACAAGAAAACAAATAAACAGTGCCGCGATACTTCCTTTCCCAGTGTCACTTCCTGTGACACATCAAAAACATCTGACAAAATTTTTGGAAAATTAAAGAATTGGACGCTGCGAGCTCTAGTGAGGGTTCTACAAAATAAATGTTGATTTAATGAGACTGGTCACTCCCACTCACTAATGTACAATGTGACAAATCTCGCACAAGTGGCATGTCTACTACAAGGTATAGATTTTCGTTATTACCTCACGACTCAAGCATTTTTACACGCCTCGGGCGTCGAAAATCGAATATGCCTGAACAAACGCATTTTCAATTATCACATCATTCCTGAAATCCGAAGCCACAAAAACATGTTTTCTATCATAGATGCTACGCCATAAAAACCAACAAAACAGTTTTTGTTAAACCAGGTTTAACTCAATAAAAATCACCAACAGAAAATCTAAAAACTGAATTTTACATAGTGTTTATATCATCGCTAACTTGCATTTTCATTGTGCTGGATGCGAGGTCGACAAAGATCTGCTTATTAGCAACTTTTAAATTGCGTATAACAAAACAGCTCTGGAGTTTTTGCTCTTTGGTTTGAATTGGGTATAAATTGGGTATAAGTTACAGGTTATACAATAATTATGGTATCTTATGGTCTATGTAAATAGCACCGTTCGCACGCGTAACAATGTATTTAATATATGATTTTCCTAGTATTTACTTTTCTTATCACTGAAAGCAGCAGAAGTAACTCCTAAGTATAATAAGACAGACCATGGATTGATATTTATCACTGTATGAGTACTAAATACAGCATCTCTCATGCAATAAAGTTTCAGCATGAAATGAAAAACGTATTAACGAAGCCAAAACCTTACTTACTTCCGAGAGAGGAGAAAAGAAAACTGAATTTTCCCCTGAATTCTTGATGAAAAACATAAAGCATAGCAAGTTGGGGAAGATAAGGAGATGCAGAAGAGTATATTACTTTATTTTCAGGGGAGATGTTTTGATGTTAATGGAGGGGTGCCGATGATTTTGTACTGCCTTCAGTTAATGAAATCCAAACAAACCAATAAAAATTACATCCTTAGGGTTTTTTTCTAATACACAGCATGTGCAGTAACTATTGGCATGTACATGATCAGGGTCATACTTTGGCTACATGTACCTCTATTCACAATCGCCTAATGAAAGTTCCAAACTTGGAGTACTGCATGCAGAAAAGCGGCTCAGAAAGGAGGAGCAAACATGGAAACACCCACTGGACCCAGCCTTTCTCTCTAAATTTGCAAGTGTCTCTTGTGTATCTTGGACAAAATTTGTTAGAAAATTCTTAAAAATGTCTAAATTCACATAACAGGTTTAAGCCCTCCTAATTCCACTTTTAAAGCATGATATTACTTCATGGGGCTGAGGAGGAGGGAAGGGGGGGGGAGCACAAAAGTCATGAAGAGGAAAATATTCCCAGCCTTAGCTTGTAACCAACTGATGGATGTGGCACTCACTTCTTGTAAACATACCAGTAATCACTAGAGATCTCCTAGCTCATATAAGACGTACAAATTGAACTACATGCATCTATGTTTTGACCTATTTCATATCACAATTAAAAGGACGGTTATGTGTTGAACCTCCTTTAGTGTCATAGATCAAAAAAATTGTGCTTTCTTATTTCCATCCCATAGAAGACTGTTAATTTGGCAACTTCAGTGAAAGTCATCAGTCAGCCATTGTAAGTGATGACTTTCCTCTTCAGGACTACTGTGAACCAGCTAATCACATAACATGATTAACTGTTCATAGGATGTTGAAAAATTCATTTATAAATCAAAAGATAATTATTGGATGCTGGTATATTTGTTGGGGATCAATATCCTATGAAAACTTTCATTTTCCTTATACACATATTCCAACCAATCATTGCATATAATCATGCACAAAAACAAATACGAGTGTTAAAACTTACCCTTCTCCATTGTTTAAACTTTGTCATGTTCTCTTTTCACAACAGCCTCTTTTATATTTGTATTTGATAGTCCCAATCCACCTAGTTCAAAGAAAAAAAGAATGAAATCCCTACTTAAAAGGAAAAACTTAATCAGTAGCAAATTTACGTTACACCTTATAGACACTTCTTTATCCTCTGTGCTAATATAAATTCATTAGTAATACCTGTCTGTATTGTGACTGTCTCATAAGTCTGTTAAAACACCACCTTTTTTTTCTTTTAGATCATAATTCAGGGCCTGGGAAAATGAAAGGTGTGCTGTGCTTATTATCAAACCTGGGCTCTGCACTTCTCTGCTCAACTAAGTGACTAAAGTACATGGCTCCAGATGGACCATAATTTTCAAGGGCTCACAAAAAGTGATTGCATCTAGCAAAACAGGGAGGTTTCAAACCAAGAAGAAATTTCCTATAAATACATGTATTTTAAAGAGCTGAGGAATACTGCTCCTTCTTTATATACCAAAATGGAGTTAGTACTTACAAGAGTAAAATGGCTACAGATGAACCATAACTTTCAAGGAATTACAAAAAGTGATCACATCTAGCAAAATAGGGCATTTCTAGACTGTAAAATGCAAGATATTTACCATAAATGATAGTATTTTTGTGTGCTGAGGAATACTGCTCCTTTATAATATCAGAGAGGTTAACTAAATTTTTGCAAGAACTATATTCATGCCTTTTAGTAGTTTAAAACCTCCTATTCCCAACTGATGTTCCCCAGATGTAATTTTGAGAAAAGGTTTCATAAACTGCATAATGATTTAGCATTGGCATTCTCCTAATCCCTCTCAAGGAGATGGTAAGAGAAAATGTCTAGAACAGAGATATCTACATGTAAGTAATGCTAGACCAAATTTTGGACACCAATTTTCATGACTAAACATTTGGAAGGAGAAAAGTAGAGTGGACTGTCACTGTCAAGGGGCACTCTCAGATACCTAGAGATAGCCTAGCAAACAAAACAGGAGGACAAGGGGCCCTGGTCAAAATGGATTAAAATAGATTGAAACAAGCCAAACAGAATATTTACTTCCCATTGTGAAATCAAGGGGTGCTCTGACAGCACTAATATTGTCAAGATTTGACAAAAACAACTTTAAATTTAACAATGTTTTTCAAGTCAGTGAAATGTACCATGTTGCAATGGGAAGAATGCCACAATTAATTTTAAAATTAAAACAAAGCCCATTTGTCAGACTTTTCTTCACTTGATATTTTCATCACTCTATTTTATTTTCTTCTGCTCCATCCAGCCAGTGTAGCTGAATACTCTAAACTCAACTGCTGACTTGCCACATCAAAGAGACATAAGGATGCAAATAATCAAAAGTTGATTGCTGGGTTGGAAAGAGAACACACATCACAAGCAATTTGAGAGTTAAATTGAACTGAAGTGATTAGAAAAATTGAAAGTTAACAGTGAACTGGTAAAAATTAGTTAAACATGAGAACTCAGTAGAGATTGGAGAATGGCAAGAAAACCTTCCTTCCAATTATACATGTATACTGACATATAAATTAACATTTTCCCCCAAGGGGTGACCAAAAAGGAATTTCTCCCTACAGTATCAATATACATTTAAGTTGAAAGGTGATGAGAAAAAATAAAAATCAACTGGTTATAAAAAATGTGACTCAATACCATATTCTTTGATAGGAAATTATAGGCAGTGTATAACAGAATGTGAGGAGAATTAAAATTTAGATCTAAGGAGTAGAGGATTAAATTACAGCAAGTGTACTATGTACTTTCTAGGATTTGGCAACTCTCTGGATGCTGTTTCTAGTAAAAGGATAAATTTTT